CGGCTGTGTGGCCGGCCGCTGGCTGTGTTGCCGGCGAGGAGAACTATTCATTCTGTAGGCTGGCTGTGTTGCCGGCCGCTGGCTGATGCCGGCGATGGACGTGTAGGCCGCTGGCTCTGTTGCCGGCGTGATGAACCGGGGCCGCTGGCCTGAACTAGGGCTTGGCATTTGAAAACTAGACGTGGACAGGATGGGGCAAAATGGATGCGTCCGCGCGTTGGACGCACGGCCACCGCATCCCAGGACAGACCCGGACACGACCCCAAATCGCTACCCAAATGGACAGAATCCGGACAAAACGGATGTCCGTTTGAGGTCGCGCGGTGAAGTTGGCCTAAGGGTTGCTTGGTTCCAAGCCACATCTTGTTACACTTTGCCATACCTTAACTAGTTAAGACAAATTTGACAAAGTAAGTTGTGTGTTCGAATTGTGCCACAACTAAAACAATTTTCTTATTAGCAGCAAGCCCCACATATCATAGATATAAAAAACATGGCAAAATTCCTTAGGGCAAACCAAAATGTGGTTAAGAATTTGAAGATCTCAAGTAAGACAAATGTGACAAAACAGCATGGCGATATGTGGCAAAGCTAGTCACAATCCAAACAAATCTTAGACAATTATATTTTGCAGCGCGCTGGTGATTACTGGTTACATCGTATTGTAACTTAGAACTGTATCAGCTTAAAGTTGCAACATGCTGTCAATGGCTGGACGCCTCATATCGTATTATACTCGTAATCAAGCTGTACATATTAGTCGCCAATCCCTAGTAAAACCAAGACAAGCAGAGGGGGCATGTTCCGCGGCATCGGTTACCGCACAGATGTTTGTATACGGGCATATGATAATCCTACTAGCAGTACTGTAATACTCCTAGTAGCTCCGTCTAGCTGCAGGGATCGATCGGAAGTCAGAAGAGAATATTACAAGGCAGTAAAAACAAGACAAATGGCAGGCTAACCCACGGTGCTCTGCAGTGCCATCGGCTTTTCTTATTTGACCGGTCTGCCTAGCTTCTCCAGACCCGAGGCACTGAGGCAGTGAGTGTCAGCTACTACACATGAACCGAGGTAAATTCATTGTTGGTCCGAATAATGGAATCGTCGGTACGTTCCTAGTGCCTTTCCTTGAGAACATGGAGGTCAGGTTAAGCCTTAAGCGGGGGAGGTGCCACCGTCCAAGTCTGGACTGGAGACGACGGGATGGAGCTTTTACTTTTGGTTCTTCCGCTTGGGCGCTCTCGTCATCAGATCATCCGTGACTTGATCAAGATGAGTTGGTATCACCGTTAACATATTGCATCTGCACTACGACTGTACGTTCACACCACATATGCATGGATCTCTCATGCAAGTGTGTCATTTCTGACGGTCATTTGCATAGAGCATTCAAATTTGTAGCAGCGGAGTCTTAGATCAAAAATTCTATACTCACGGAGCTTTACGGGGCTTTTACAGACCCCTTTCATAATTATGCTTTACGGGGCTTTTACAGACCGATTTTCAGTGGGTGTAGGCTCCTCATGCTGATTTTCTCCAATTGAAGTAGCCCAACTAAGCAGCCCCGTAAAACCCGTAACCATAACGCCCGTGCGTGTAGCATTGCTCGTCTTAGATTTCTCTCGCCCGGTCGTCTGAGTCGTCATCTTTTATGTATCCTGCAACAATTTATACGCGCACAGTCGGTTTTACTAACCCCACACACGGTGGATCGATGATCAACGATGTGCCTCGATCAGCTGCATGCAACATTGTATACAAGAATCAAGATGCGCAAAACTAAGTATTTGTGTGCCATACGAACTGCCATATTGTGATATTTGACAACCGATCCATCGATCGAAGAATAGATACTACCTCAAAGAGTCCCGAGCCTCCGATCTAGGAGCTCAACGCACTCGCACATCGTTGTATGATCCGTGATACTAATCGACATTTTAGTTTGGAAGGTAAAAACTACTCGCTCGGTTCTATAATATAAGACGTTTTCTGACAAAGAGGGAGTAGTACTATTCAACATCTATATATTGCACCACACACTCAACA